ATATATGTACATGTGTATACATATGTATATGTGTATGTATGTATGTATGTCTGTCTGTATGTCTGTATGTCTGTATGTCTGTATGTCTGTATGTCTGTATGTCTGTATGTCTGTATGTCTGTATGTCTGTATGTGTATAACAGAAACAAACGAACTAAATCAAGCAATGAGAAACTGAAGAGACACACAAATACATGCATGACTAATTGAACAGCTAACTGCAACTAATTGAATGCATAAACAAATATATACACAAATAAACACATGAAAACACATCTGATCTGTTATGATATGATACGGTATGATGTGGTGATGTGACATGGTATGACATGATATGATCTGATGCGACCGGCTTTGGTATGAGATGATGCGAGATGATAGAACCTTACATTTACATAAAAAAGATATGAAGAGGTGTGATATAAGATAATATAATATGATATGATATGATCTGGTAAGGTGTGACGTGACATGATGTGATGTGATGTGATGTGATATGAGATGTGATGATCTGACTTCTGTATGCAACCCGGAGTGTCCTTCCGCCGTGGAGACGGGCGCCTAAGGGCCTTCCTGGGTGCCTCCGAGAGGTCCAGCTTCGGCACAGAACGTTCCAAGAGGGCGGAGTCCTGCGCCTTGGTGGCGCTCACGTACCTTTGTCCAGTTTCCGAAGGGGATTGGGATATGTATATATGTATATATATATATACATACTTTTTTCCATGTATATGAAAATGAAAAATATGTGTGTGTGTGTATATATATATATAGTGAGATCAGATAGGGATGTCAATGCACCCAAAATGGTTCTACTTGACTGCGAAAGTACTCATCCCTCCAAGGAGGGGCCGTCCTTTCCACGGGCTTCTTGGAAGGCCCAGCGGTGCGTAGCTCGCTGACGATCCGCGGCTCGATGAGACCGGCGAGCCGCAGGTTACGGGCGTTGAGTGCAAGCAGCGGTGGGGCCGAGGATCCCCCGCAGCGGCCCATCAACATCTTTGGCCCGTCTGCGCCGTAGGCCTCGCGGAAAACGGCGATGGCTACCGGAGCTGCAGTGCCTTCTCCCACGGTCTCCTGTGCCGCTGCGACGCCGGAGGCCGTTCCGGGCATCGTTTTCACCATGGCACAGAGCTGCGGGAAGTCCATCGGCTTCCAGTCCAGCTGCAAGGCCAGGAGACGCTGGCAGCCCCGGGTCCGGAAGTGAAGGTCTCCTGGGCCGGATTCAGAAACCCTATAAACATTAAATTTGTATGGGCTCTATATATATATGTATATGGTTATATAGGGATAATAAACATTAAATTTGTATGGGTTATATATGGTTATATAGGGATTATAGTCCTTAAAACTTAAAAATGATTTCCAAGAACACCCCAGTCTCTTTGAGAGTTGAAGAGACTAACGACCTCCTCTGGAGTGGAACCATTGCAATGGTGCCGCAGCTTAGCGAAAAGGTCCGCCTCATCCAGGACAAGCCCATACTTCACTTGAAGCATATCCTGTACCACCATGGCCACCTTACTTCTCCAATAAGCCAGGCAAATAAAAGGTTAAACTTTCAGGTTACTACTAAATTATAAGAACCCAAAAAGTTTAAAGGTGGGGTATTGGGGAACTAAGCCACTGCTTCCAAGGAGTGCAAGACGGCAGTCGAGGCTGTGCGAGATTGCCTGGCTTTCTCTTCCTCGACGGCATTCCTAACAGCATCGAAGGCAGCTGCCATGTCCAAGCCACCTGCGCGCCTCTGCCCGCAGTGCGGGCAGAAAACCAGGTCCATGTCCGTCAGCCTCCGCGATGGGATGAATCCGAACCCTGCCGAAGACTCCCAAAACTCTTTGATGAATGCAACTGTTCAACAACTTCCGTCGTTAAGAATAGCAAGAGGCCTACGGGGCGCAATGGATTCGTATCTAGCTGCCCGAAGCTTCGCCGAGCAGCAAATGACCACAGTTGGAGCAGCGTGAGGATTTTGCTGGAAGCTGCTCCGACTCACTGGAAGAGTCCTCTGGGCCGGATCCAGAAACCCTATAAACATTAAACCTTTATGGGATATATATGGTTATATAGGGGTTTCAAACTTAAGAATGATTTCCAAGAACACCCCAGTCCTGACGTTTGACAGCCTGTGAAGGTCGTGTCTTCGAGACAAGGAGCCGCCTGGAAATCGGGAATCTCCAATGCAAACGGATCTATACCGTCTTGTGCATTTGGCGCATGACGGCAGTAAAACGTCGAAGCTACATACACATGCACTTGCACACATAAACAAACATGATCCTGATCAAACAGACTAAGTAAGCAGACGCATGCACGCATACCCATACACATCTGCATGCATGCACATGCACGCACGTAGCACAAAATGTGCATTTTTGTCTGTGTCGGATCCTCACATGTTCACTCTTTTCAGCTCCAAGGGCATCTGACGACTGGCAGAGTCCATCATGAACCTGTTTGCAGCATTACCTTGCACCATATTTCGCGTTCCGAAGAATTCTTAACTACCAATTGGGACCCATGTAACCCTAAACCCTAAACCCTCAACCCGACACCCCCGTGGCCGTGGCTCTCTGGCCTCCGCGGAGGGAGAAAGGCCGGCGACCCAGCCGGGAGCCGCTCATTGTGGGAGGCGCGCGAGGCCCGGGAAATCGAAGGGCTGTCGAAGTCCATGTCGCCAGCATCCACTCAATGTGGTTTCGGCGGTAGGGTAGTTATGACTTAGGGCATGTAGGCCCCAAGGTTATTTCGGGTTGAAGGCTTTTCGGTAGGGTTGAGGGTTTTGGGGCTTCAAGGGTTTCGGGCGTACGCGGGGGGGGGGGGGGGGGACTCAATTCAATGCACATGGAAGACGCTTACCTCACGCAAACACTTACCGGCTTGTTCCCATGATCAAAATTCGAAGCTGCCATAGCTAGCAGGAGGTTCCTTGGCTGCCACATCACGCATGGGTGACATGCCACTGCGTCAGCTACGGTTTCGTGTCTTGCGATTGAGACATCTCAGAGTTGCCAAAGAGGAGATCATTGCTGGGCTTAAATAATAGTAACCATAGCCATACTCGTAATAATAAGAGTAAAAAATGATAATAGGAATCATAATAATAAAAAGAATCATAATTGACAACGAGATTAAAAGCCTGGCGCTGCGGCAGACCGAACCTCCCTCTCCCCGAGCCCTAGACCGACTGTCTAAAATGTTTGATTATAACGTACAAAAAGCTCACTTGTAGGATATTCGTTTAATAAAATTTATGATCTAAATCATATTAGTTTACACATACAAAACTAACTCTAAAGTTACATAGCATATAGGGGTTAGGGATTTTATTTTCGATTTATCAGGCAAGTCCCTGCAAAGCATCGGCTGCCTCCAGGACGAGGACAATATCAGCGGCCTCACGACGGAGTGAGGCTCGAGCGCTCCAGGCTTCAAAGGGCTTCAGAGCTTTAGCCTTTCCAGTACTTCTTTATGATTTTGGGGCTTACTGTGGAGTTTCGAGTCTTATAGCACGGATATTCGTCACATCAATCACGCTGGAGCAGGCGGCCAAGATCGCTGAACAGCAGCTCTGAGCCGAACCCCAGTTCCTAACATTCCATAAACAGCGGAGAGCGCTGTGTGCCGCGCCCGCGCTAGCTGGGCGGATGTGGTCGTGAGGACCACTGCACTCCGATGAAGCCGTCCTCGCAGAACTTGCATCATGAAATGCAGCTGTGCAAAGACTGATGAATGCCTACAGGAATCGAACTGCAGCTGCAATTCTGTTCGGTTGAGGGCACATGGCGTCTTCCTTGCCTGCAGCCCCGATTCTTCTGCATCTACACTACCAGGTTCATCGTGAAACGCAAGTAAACCGTCGCAAGCAAGAGTCTTCTGTGCACCTGCAGCCTGACTTACCCGGTGCATAGGCCCTAAAGTAGTTCCTTTTTGGGGTTCATATTTAGAATCCTATAAGGTAATCCCAAAAAGGAACTACTATGGGGCCTATGGGCACGGGGTTCCAAATTCGACTGATGCTGCTGCTGATGGCTTCTCTGTCGCTCTGATCCTCGAATGGCAGCATGCCAGACAAGTCCACCTAGGCGTTGCGCGAGCTTCAGCAATCCTACATCTCATGATCGAGTTTGGTATTCAACAGCAAGGCTGAGCTGTGCAAGGATGCCATGGCCGGCTTCCACAGCACGAACATCCCATACCCCAGACTTCCACACAAACACTAACCAGATCGGACGCATCCCGTAGCCACGACGTGAATAAGGAGTGTGCGAGAAGCTTGCTTCACATGAGTTTGTTTTTTCCTGCTGTCCCTGGTAAATGCTTAATCAGAAGTCTCAAAGAGGGTCTCGTGGACACGACTCTGCGACCCTAAGCTCCGGGCAGGTTTGTGGATCCAAGCTGGCGAAGGGGTCATCCTGCCCAATGCTACGATCAGCTTGGGGTGCGTGATGCTTGAGCATGAACCCATGTCGGCCAGCTTGCTGAGAGCTGAAGCGAGTCGATGTCGAACATTTATGGATGCGATACTGGCGGTACAAAAGTAACGAAGTGTCGCACAAACAGTACATAGACTACGTAAAACAATGCAGCACCACATTGGAAAAACACTATAAAATCATTGAAATTAGTTCTGATAGGGGTCATTGTCGTACATGTACTGTAAAAAAACTGTATCGGTACGTGTAGAGGGGGATACGGACAACGGCCATCGCAAGTAGTCCGGCCCCTATTCAACCGGAGAGATGACAAGAGCTCAGAACGGAACGGCTTCGGGTTTAGGGTTTAGGGCTTCTAAGGCTTAGGTTCTCAAACGCTGCCGACACCTCCAGACTTGGATTTAGGGCTTAAGGCTTATAGGGTTTCAATTTTGACATATAGTGAGTATGACAACAATAATAAGGAGTAACCGTCATCACATTGATAACTAATTATTGCTGGAGCTAGGGACTCGTAATGATCATAAATGGTCCTAAACCCCAATTAGACCCTAAAACCCCTAAACCCTAAACACCCTAAACCCTAAAAACCCCAAACAACCTAAACCCTAAACACCCTAAATCCTAAAATTAACTAAAACCCCTAAAAACCCTAAACCCTAAAAAGCCCTAAAAACCCTAAAAACACCAAACCCTTAAAACCCTACAAACCCTAAACCCTAAAACCCTAAACCCTAAAAACCCTAAAAACACCAAACCCTAAAAACCCTAAAAGCCCGAAACCCTGGACCCTAAACCTCCCGGGGCGCACCAGGAGGACCAGCTCTGCTTGTCCGTAGATGGCCCGCGCGATGCCCACCCGCACACGTTGGCCGCCTGCGAATTCTTCGGTTTAGGGATTAGGGTTTAGGGTTTAGGTGTCGCAGGCTGCTTCGCATCGCAATGCAGTCCTAAACGAACATAAACCCCAAGCCGTATCGCAAAAGAGCAGTTTCGGAAGCTTGCGCCCCAGGATTTCGTGATTCTGAAGCATTCGTCCTCGCCTGCTTAACTATGCTTGGTGCCTTCAGTCGGACCAATAGGCTATGTAGCCTGCATGGTGTGTGTATGTGAGTGTGCATATACGTGTTGATGCACATGTATACCATACATGTCGATGTACGTGTATATGTAGGCAGGTGGGCAGGCACGTGGGCAAGCAGGTAGGTCTGTAGGTCTGTCTGTGTGAGCGCGCAAGTAAATCTATCTATAACTCGAGTTTATATAATATATATATATATATATAGCTATATTATGTGTGTGTGTGTGTGTGCGTGTCTGCGTGTGTGTGCGTGCATGAGCGCCTGGTTCCGTATGATATTTGTTGTACGCAAATGAGCATGCCGGTGTGCTTGCATGCTGGTACAATGTCGCCTCTGCCTGTGGATTGAACACTGTGGCTGTGTGTGCTGCATTGCTGCATCCGGGATTTTGCTAGATGCGGGTGTCCGAAAATAGGGGACCCTAATATAGCACCCTAAATAATACGATCCTTATACTCAGGACCCCAAAATAAGGTACCCCCCTATTTTCGGAAAGTCCCACATGCAGGAGACAGATGCGAGCAGCTTCAGAAGAAGAGTGCTGGTGACTGGTCTGTTCGTCTCGTCTGCCCAGTATGCTGCGCCTGAGATTTGGGGCACCTGAGGAGCCCGCGTGGACATGGCCTCGGTCGCACATCGCCGCAGAGACCCAGGCACGAATGAAAAAGTGGCAGTGCACAGCACCGAGGCGTATGCATTCGCTGTGGCCCCCTCCTGCACGGACATGCAAACAGAAGCAGGCAAGAGCCGAATCCACACACCCTACAAACCGCAGTCACCAGGGCTACAAATCTACGAAATCCCCAAAGACCCTGGTGAAGGCACGCTCAAGTTACCTGCCCAGTCTCCTTCGCTAAGTCAGAGAGACCACAGGCAGCCATGGTGTCCAGGTAGCGGTCATGGTCATAAGGCCTGGTGGGTGTAGAGTTTAAGGTTTAGGGTTCAAGGGTTTTTGTGGCTTTATTAAAGGTCCATAGACTTGTTAAAGGTGGGTTTAGAGACCTCTTTTTGCCTGCCTATCCAGTTCGAAGGCCGAGTTTAGGGTTCAATGTTTATTTTGGCTTTAAGGGTCCACAGGTTTGTTCCTTTTCGGGTGCAGGGTCTGTCCTTTCGGTGTTCAAGGGTGCAGTGCCCCAGATTGCCGACGCCCCTTTCCTACTCAGCGATCTTCCAGCAATGACATGACCTGATGCCTGATTTAGGCAGCTTAGCCTACGGGTTGAGACCGATCTCGGTTAAGGGTTAGGGTTACGATTAAATCAAGCATCGGTTCTATATTCTTGGGATTGCAGCGTGACTTGGCTATCCATCTAGGGCATTCCGAGAATGAAGCTTGAGCGTTCTACTTCCTGGCACGAGGGCAAACATGGAAAACAACTGCTATAGCAAATAGTCGCATGCAAAATGTACTATAAATTTAGATGTGTCAATATACTGAAGGGCATACTAGACATAGAGCAACAGCATTAGCGGTGATGTAAGAGTGCGGATGCTATGGATGTCATGGTCATACCGATACCAAGCAGAGCAATAATCCTACTTAGAACGATTAACTTTTTCAGACGCATGATATGAACGACCACTTTCCTATATCCTGTCGTTTCGTACCATATATTTGGTCACATCACAGCGCCTCATATTATATTATCTCAGATCATATAAGATGAAACCATACGACAGCATAGCCTATCTCATCTTGCTTGTCCTATCCTATCCTATCCTGCCACGTCAAGCGAGGGACACATCACATCACATCATACCGTATCAGCGCGTACTGCTCACTAAGGACATCAAGTGGGATGTGTCCTGGTCGCCTTCGGATGACGTGCAAAACAGACTTCAGGGAACGCTCGACCACCATAGCCCAACAGGAAACCTGACCTATGCCTCAAGCCCCCTAGTCAAGAGAGCTTGTCGCATGAACTGCCCGAGAAAAAACCGCCAAGGGAGCCGCAGAACGCAGAAGTGCAATGTCGCCAGGAACCCCTCTGATTTCGAAACCCTGGAACCTTGCGGTGTGGAGTAACCCTGACGAAGTGATTCTCCATAAATTACCCTCGGGGTGTGCCTGCCGAACAGCACGTTCTCGCAGACGCTGCCCCGGATGAGCTGCGGCCTGTGTGTGTTTGGTGAGAGCACAAAGGACAGAGGTGAG